TAATGAAATATAAAATATAAGGGAAATACATAATTGGGTGTAATAAATAAATATAAGGAAACTAAATTATAGAATAATAAAGATAATAAACATAAGGGAAATATATAAATGGAGGTAATAAAGAAATATAAGAAAACTAAATAATAGAATAATAAAGAAAATAAACACGACCATGTCTCTCCCACCATCACTCACTACCTTCTATGTAAACTCATATAAGCTTAATACTGCCCGTCAAGAGTGTAAATTTTAGTTTCATTTTTCGTTCCACCTTTTGAAAGTGATGTCTGAAGATCGTATAACCTCTCAGACGATGGCTAATGTGAGTCGAAAGCTTAGATCAACGAACAGCTTAATGAAATAAAATATTCAAATTTTGGGCAATTTTTGTCTTTTTTTTTTACCTGAAATTAAAGCAAATATACGGAATTTAGAACGGCTCATGATCAAACATACTAAACATGCATTGTGTGTTATATTTAACAATACATATATATATATATATATATATATATATATATATATATATATATATATATATATATATATATATATATATATATAGTCATCCAAATACAGTTCTGTCAATTTGCATCATTTTATCAGTGAATAGACATCCTATTGCTTCAAACCGGGATAGAAACTGGACCGATTTGGCATCAGTTAGAGATTCTACCTTTAAGCTATCAGCGCACGGCAGAGAAAGGGAAGTTTTTTATTATATAGGTGATGTATACAAACGGTAGTAGCCAATAGCGCTCAATTCATGACTGAAGAGCGATGCGGTAACAGCAGGAGCAGCCACTGTTGTTTTTTTTTAAATTAACCTTTCTCTAGAGTGCAAAATCGGAAAACGAGAGCATATATATATATATATATATAATTAATATGATGTCTAGCCACACTACTGAACTGATACAGCGAAACATAGGCACGGTAGAGTAATGGATAGCGGCTTGAATTGAGGAATCGGAGAGCCGAGTTCAAATCCCAGTCGAATCCATTACATTCACTTACGTGCTAATACCCTTGGGAAAGTTATTAATCCTCGTCTTCTCCCTCCAGCTATTGGTAAATAGCTGAACAGGCTGGGTTCTAAAACCTTGGATGGCAACATGTCTAGAAGAAGGACAACTCTGAATTCAAAACCTGCGCAGGGTCGTTCAGATCTCTGTATTCGGCCCTTCAAAAAGTGTGGATGGTCCTGCACAAAACCTTCGACACTATAGTCAAATCTCATGTGCTGGTGTCGGGCTGTCGATTCCTAGGAACTGATCCGCCTGACCCTCATACGACGGGAGAGTCGAGAGTATATAAGAGGAATATTTATGCAGAAATATTCATCCAAGCTAGTTTGATAAATAGAACTGACAAGGCCTGTTTAATTTTTAATATATTTTTACAATTTTCTGATAAGGTGCTGCGTATTGTATTCGAATTTGTTGATAAACTGCCCGAAGTTCATATTTTGATAGTTTTGGTCTTTCTTACCAATTTCTTTAGAACCAATGTTAGAATTCCTTTGTTTTCATCCTAGTATTCTTTTAGCTTAAAGTCTATCCGAAAACTGGAAAAATATGATAAAAATTAAACAGACGGCAGACATTGTTGGTTACTTTAATCAAACTTGTATGCATATGGGCGCTTGGCCGAGTGGTTAGAGAGCTCGCTTTCTGACTATGAGACTATGGTTGATTCGTCAGAAAGGAGACTTCCTGAAGTTATCGGTCAGGTGGGGGACGATCCCAACGTGCGGCACATTTGTAAAGGGCCTGAAAACCATACCACGCTTTGTGAGTGAAATTGGGTAAACTGAACATTTGGGAGCCGTCGATAGCTGTGCTAGCACGAAGTCACAAGTCATCGTGACCGAGAGTTTGAGTGTACAGGCCTTTCTTCAGATTGCTGATCACGCTAGATAACACGCTCTCTCCCAGAAAGAGTAATTAATGTCGTCTCAGCATAGTTGCAGTATAAACAACAGTTGGGCTCTGTGGGTGTTGAAAAAAACACTTAATGAGCCCGAGCGAACGTCTACAGTAGGGATTAGCTAGCCGACCTAATAGATGGGTATCCTCAAATACAAGTGACCAGGTATTATATACAGGGTGTTTCAAAAAGAATACGCCAAAATCATTACGCTGTTTTTTCAGGTCTATAGCATTGTAGTGGACTGAATCAGTGGTTATTTGATAGAGTGGTTATCAAAGTTTGATTGGGTGTCAGTATAACTTCGTTAGTATAAATTAGCTACAAACAGGACAAACCTATCTCAAAATGCTCCAAAAATGGCTATTCACTTTACTGCAAGCAGATTCGAATGACTTCATTTTTCAGCAAAAATTTTTGGAGCACCACCCCATTGGCATCCCGGGGTTAGAGCTTATCTGAATGAAAACGTGCCTCAGCGATGGATTCGGAGGAGAGGTGCTAAAGACCTTGTTCTCTGTGCTTGGCCTGTCAGATCCCCGGACCTCACTGTGTGTGACTTTTTCTTGTGGGGGTATGTTAAAGAGCAAGTTTATGTTCCAGTACTTCCAGCAAGTATCGATGACTTGAAAAATCGAATAACAGCTGCAATCAACACAGATGTCAATTACAACATATTAAGCAATA